CAGGTCCTGACCGGCCCTCCTGCTCCTCGGAACCAGCCCTCCCAGGAAATGGGCCTTGGCTGGGGTGACGCCCGGACCATCGTGTGCCGCTGCCTCCCTGGCCGCCCAGCCTGCCTGGTCCTACAAGGGCAGCAGCCCCGAGTGCAGGGCTGGGCTGAGGCCCACCCCACAGACGCGGCTGATTCAGGGTCTGTGTTTGTGCTCAGGATTTCCGCAGGGGCTCGCCCAACTGTGCCTGCCAGGCCATGCCCAGGCTCCGTGGTTCTCACCCTCATTTCTTCCTTCCTTGGGGCCCAGATCTTCCTGCTGCATTTCACCCAGTGTCCTTGGTTTTCTCCCCAAGGTTTGCAAAAACTGGTGAGGCCCTAGCCAGTTTGGTCCAGTGGATAGAGCGTTGGCCTGCAGACTGAAGGGTCCCGGGTTCCATTCCCCGTCAAGGGCACATGCCCGGGTTGCGGGCTCGATCCCCAGTAGGGGGCGTGCAGGAGGCAGCGATACATGATTCTCTCTCATCATTGATGTTTCTACCTCTCTCTCCCCCTCTCCCTTCCTCTCTGAAATCAATAAAAATATATTAAAAAAAGAAGGAAGGAAGGAAGGAAGGAAGGAAGGAAGGAAGGAAGGAAGGAAGGAAGGAAGGAAGAAAGAAAGAAAGAAAGAAAGAAAGAAAGAAAGAAAGAACTAACTGGTGAGAAAACTGGTCTCTTTGCTCCATAGTTCTTCTAAAAAGCTGTGATTAGGCCCTGGCCAGTGTTCCTCGATGGTTAGAGTGTCAGCTGTGCACCAAGCATCCTGGGTCTGATTCCTGGTCAAGGGCACATACCTGGGTTGCATGTTAGATTCCCCAGCCTGGTTGGGCATGTGCAGGAGGCAACCAATCGATGTGTCTCTCTCACATCAATGTTTCTCTCTCTCCCTCTCCCCCTCTCTCCCTTCCCTTCCACTCTCTCTAAAAAAATCAATGAGGCCCTAGCGGGTTTGGCTCAGTGGATAGAGCATTGACTTGCGGACTGAAAGGTCCCGGGTTCGATTCCCATCAAGGGCACATGCCGGGTTGCAGGCTCGATCCCCAATGTGGGGCTTGCAGGAAGCAGCCGATCAATGAATCTCTCTCCATCATTGATGTTTCTACCTCTCTCTCCCCCTCTCCCTTCCTCTCTGAAATCAATAAAAACATATTCTTTTAAAATTACATTGCTATGAAAAAAGCTCCCAGATTTATTGAATTTCGAGTCCCGCCTGCAGTTGCCTGGGCAGGGCCAGACCAAATGATACGGCCCGCGGGCCTGACGTTCCCCACCCCTGACTGAGGGCAAAGAGGTCAGTGCCCCCGACTAAATAGTCAGGTACTGCACGTTGTAAAGGTTCTCGTGACACGCCGGTTGGAAACCTCTGGTCTACATCATGGAGGCCAGCCCAGTTCTATTTATGACATCTTCCCGAGGACTTGCCCATTCATTCCCACATGCAAATAAGAGCTGCCGATTCCTCAAAGCACCCACTGGTGATGAAGTCATCCATTCCATGAGCTGGGCGTCACGCCCACGAGCTGCCTCAGAGTCGTCTAGCCTGCACATCCCTCCTAAGGTGGGGATGCCACTGTCACGCCATGGTATGAATGAGGGAATGGAGGCCCAGAGAGGTTAAGCAGCTTGCCCAAGCTCACCCAGCAGGGCTGGGACTTGAACCCTGGCTCTTTAGAGCCTCTGTGTCCAGGTACTACATTATTACATACCATGTTCTCCTCCTCCTCCTCCTCCTCATCCTCCTCCTCCTCCTCCTCCTTCCTCTTCCTCCTCCTCCTTCATCATCATCACCCGAGGAGAGTGGAAGAGAAAGGGAGAAATATCGATGTGAGAGAAACACATCGATTGGTTGCCTCCTGTATGAACCCCGACCAGGGCCCGGGCCAGAGATGAGCCTGCAACCGAGGTATGTGCCCTTGACCGGAATCGAACCAAGGACCCTTCAGTCCATAGGCCAACGCTCTATCCTCTGAGCCACATCGGCCAGGGCCCATGTTCTCCTTGGAGTCTCATGGCCGATCAGGGCAGTGGGCAGGGCCCACTAGGAACAGTCATTTGCAGACAGAGGGAATAAAGCCCAGAGAGGTTAGGCATTCTGACCAAATTTGTAATGCTAGGGCCACCCCCAAAACTTGTGAGTCCTGGCCTCCAGCCCTTGTCACAACCCCCAGCTGTTCCCAGGACTGAGGCCACGGATGCTAAGGGTCATCGAACAAGAGGGATGGACAGAGGGGAGGATCACACAGTGAATGCCCTGTGTGTCCCCTTCACTATGGCCACCAGGCCTGGAGCGGGAAGACGCCCCTCAAAGCACGATAATCTGAATCCCCTGACTCTCGACCCACAGCCCCCCTCCCCCCCGCAACCCCCTTGTCTGTCAATATGGCTGTGATGCCCCGCCCCTCACCCCTGGGGAGGGCACCATCCAGTCCCAGTCACCCTCTCTGTCATCCCTGCTCATTTAGGCACCCACGTTTGGGAGGAAGTGGCTGGCTTCCCGGGGAAACACCTGCCTGGCCCCATCAACCTGAGCAACCGGTTTCTTGAACCCCGGTCTCAGAGGACAAACCTAGAACTCCAGCCTCCTGATGATCAGGAGAATCATGGGGCTGGGGTGGGGAGGGTGGCCTAGAAGCCTAGAATCCTCGAGTGGGAGGTGGATGAGAGAGAACAAAGCCAGAGGGCAAAGGGGAAAGGTTGACCTCTTAATTGCTCTGCAAAGCCCAGATCAACTCACCTCTTCCATGAAGCCCACCTTGATCACCCCATGCCCCCCCAACCCCCAAGCCCTCAACTACCTAGGAAAATGCTGTGCTGAGAGACCGCCCCCCCCCCAAGTGCACAAATTTTTGTGCACCGGGCCTCTAGTCCTATATAATAAAAGCCTAATATGCTAAGTGTCCAGTCATCGGGTGGGCCGTTCAACCAATCAAAGGGTAATATGCTAATGATATGCTATTGCCACTCAACTGCTCGCTATGACATGCACTGACTACCAGGGGACAGACAGTCGACATGTTGCTATGACATGCACTGACCACCAGTGGGCAGATGCTCTGACTGGTAGGTTAGCTTGCTGCTGGAGTCTGGCTGATCAGGACTGAGTGAGATGGGCAGGACATACCCTGGAGCCCTCCCCCGGTCCCTCCTCGGCTGGCCAACCTCCTGTGTCCCTCCCCGGCCCTGATCATGCACCGGTGGGGTCCCTTGGCCTTCCCCCCCCCTCCCCAAGTGCACAAATTTCGTGCACCGGGCCTCCAGTATAATATATTGTTATTGATTTCAGAGAGGAAGGGAGCGGGGGAGAGAGAGAGAAACATCAATGATGAGAAAGAATCATGGATCAACTGCTTTCTACACACCTCCTTACTGGGGATCGAGCCCACAACCCGGGCCTGTGCCCCTGACCGGAATTGAACCCAGGACCTCTCAGGCCACAGGCCGATGCTCTATCCATTGAGCCAAACTGGCTGGGGCTGGCTGTGTCTTGAAGCAGGCTGCTTCTCCTGGGAAGGGAGAGGGAACACCCCGGTGCCCTGTGCTGGTGCAGTGGGCCACGGTCCAGCCCCCAGCACACTGGTCAGGCGCTCAGCTCCAGGCATTGTATGTGGCATTGGTGGCTTTTACAAATCTGGGATCCAAACTGGCAACAATTTTTTTTTTCCAAATCCAGCATCGGTGGGTACCACTCTCACACCTGAGCCATGAGGTGTGTGCTTTGTTTGGGGGGACATGTAACGATTTGCCTCAAAACAAGCCTGCCTCTGGGAATTCACTGAAGCCTGTACAAAGACTTGTGTACCCGGATGTCCATGACAGCGACATTTATCATCCCAACCAAATAAAAAACAACCTCACTGTCCAACACCAGGCATTGGCTCCATAGAGCATGGTCTATGCTGCCATTTATTTTTTTTTAAAATATATTTTATTGATTTTTTACAGAGAGGAAGGGAGAGAGATAGAGAGTTAGAAACATCGATGAGAGAGAAACATTGATCAGCTGCCTCCTGCACATCTCCCACTGGGGATGTCCCCGCAACCCAGGTACATGCCCTTGACCAGAATCGAACCTGGGACCCTTGAGTCCGCAGGCCGACGCTCTATCCACTGAGCCAAACCGGTTTAGGCGCTATGCTGCCATTTAAAGTGATATTGTAGCTGTGGCCGGCTTGGCCCAGTGGATAGAGCGTCGGCCTGCGGACTGAAGGGTCCCAGGTTCAATTCCAGTCAAGGGCATGTACCTTGGCTGTGGGCACATCCCCAGTAGGGTGTGTGCAAGAGGCAGCTGATCGATGTTTCTAACTCTCTATCCCTCTCCCTTCCTCTCTGTAAAAAATCAATAAAATATATTTTAAAAAATAAATAAATAAAAGGGACAAAAGAGAACATACACAAAATTAAAATTGTTAAAAAATAAAATAAAATAAAATGATGTTGTAGCCCTGGCCGGCTTGGCTCAGTGGATAGAGCGTCGGCCTGCAGACTGAAGGGTCCCAGGTTCGATTCTGGCTCAAGGGCACATGCCTGGGTTGCTGGCTCGGTCCCCAGTGGGGGGCGTGCGGGAGGCAGCCAATCAATGATTCTCTCTCATCATTGATGTTTCTATCTCTCTCTCCCTCTTCCTTCCTCTCTGAAGTCAATAAAAAAATATATATTTTAAAGGGGGGTACCCCAGAAGGCATATGCAGGGGTCTCCACAGAGGTCAGGGCGCCCCTACCCATTGCCCTGTGGGCCCTGCTTTCGCTGCTGTTCCTTTTCCCAGCGCTGGCGCCTCTGGGCCCCCGGTGGGGAGGCCGGGGCGGGGGAAGGCGGGATCCGGGCCGCGGGTCCCCTCCCCGGCTGGGCGCCAGCGATCGGGGCGGCACCTGGGTCAGCAGTTCCACGACTCGCTGGGGCCGCCCCGCCCCCGACCCTGCCTGGGTTTTATAAACCGGTCCGCCTCCGAGCGCCGGATTTCGGCCGGAGCGCGCCCCGCCCGAGTCCCCGCAGCGGCCAGGGGTCCCCGCAGCGCCCGGCCAGGGATTCCCGCAGCGCCCAGGGGTCCCCGCAGCATGGCCTGGAACACCAACCTGCGCTGGCGGCTGCCGCTCACCTGCCTGCTGCTGCAGGTGGCCATGGTGGTCCTCTTCGGCGTGTTCGTGCGCTACAGCCCCGAGGCCGACGCCCATTGGATCGAGGGGAAGGAGCCCGGGAACCGGTCCAGCGACCTGGAGAACGACTTCTACTATCGCTACCCTAGTAAGTGCCGCCGCCCTGGAGGCCCAGGGACAGCGCATCCCGGCCGGCCGGTCCCCACCCGGCCCAGAGCTCGGGCGCTGGGAACCAGGGCGAGCGCGCAGGAGATGCCGCTCACAGTCTGGGCCCCGCTCTGCTCAGGCGCTCGCCCCTCTCTAGGAATCTCGCTGGAGAACTGGCCAGATGTGCACAAACTCCTTTTTCCCTGTGGCAAAGGTAATAGGGGCCCTAGCCGGTTTGGCTCAGTGGATAGAGCGTCGGCCTGCGGATGGAAGAGTCCCAGGTTCGATTCCCTGGTCAAGGGAACATACCTCGATTGCAGGCTCCTCCCCAGAGGGGCCCTGTTCAGGGTGCTTACAGGAGGCAACCAATCCATGTATTTCTCTCACATGGGTGTCTCTCTCTTCCACTCTATAGGGAACCCTCACTCACCTGGGTGAGTCATCCAGGTGTCCCCCCAACCTCCTTGTTAGAGAGGCCTGCCTGATGTCCCCAAAAGACACGAGCCCCCCATCTTAGTCACCAGCCAGGGGGTGACCCTGGCTCCCTTGCCCAGCTGTGCCATCCTGTCCTTGTCTAGGGCCACAGGGATGGCTCCTTGGCCTGCCAGGCCTCCTGCTGGGAGAGAGGAGAGGTGTGTGGGTCCGTGGCCCCGCCCTCTTTGGCTGGGAGAGGGAGCACCCCCAAATTCTCAGGTACCCAAGTGCCGAGGCTAAGAGCCTGCCTTGGCATCACTAGACCTTACTGCTCAATGCCTCTGCCATTCCCCAGGTGGGTGGCTTTTTAGGCAAATGTCCTCACCTGTGGAATGAGGATGACAAATCAGACCGACCTGCCTTCCAGGGGAGGGGTGAGGCTGGTGGGACCGTGCCGGGCATGGAATCCTCACTTCACCATGGAAAATTACTAGAAAAGCACTCAACACAGGAGTTGGGAGGACGGCCCCCATTCAAGCTGTCCCACGAACAGAGGGCAGTACGGCCTGCACTTTGGAATGAAACAGATCTGGGCCCCTAAATGGAGTGAGCCCACTCCCCAGCCACTCTGAGCCTCAGCATGCCCATCTGTGAAATGGGCATGTTATTGAACGCACAGGTCCTTTAGGAAGATGCAAGGTGGCAGGTGCCAGGTAGGACACATCTCCTGGCACCGAGTGAGAGGACAGTAAACACTGGTATCGCGTTTCCTCATAAGGGAGTGAGTGCTCCGTCGCTGACTGTATTTAAATGGAGGCTCAACATCTCTTTCGAGAGGTAACCAAGGCATAGCTCCCTGAATATTGGTTTCAGCTCATAGCATTGCACTTCCTTTGGGCTGTCCCCACTTACCAGGGTCTTTTGCATTGTAAATGCTCTCTGGTGTGGCATTTGTTCCTGTGTTGTGGTGCAGGAAACGGGAGCTTAGAGATTTACCCAAAGCTCTCAACTGGTCAGTGGCACCTGCAGGGATGGAGCCACACCCTCCCCCACCCTCCCACAGCCCACCTGCTTCCCTCCCCCCATACTCTGTGGCATTGCCAGCCCCTGGCTACGTCCTCAAGAGATTTTGCAGCGATGGCATGATTCTGCGGGTGGCCCTGAGTGTGGGAGAGGTGGGCACAGAGCTTTGGGGAACTGAGGGACGGGCCAGCGGTCCCCAAAGGGAGCAGTTTAGGCTGGGCCGGCCTGCAGAGCTTTGGAGCACCACTGGGCTGCCGTGGCCCATTGGGGTGGGCCACTTTGTCTTCAGATTTTGGAGATTTCTGAGAACTATCCCGGGAGGGAAGAGTGAGCTAGGAAGCAGGTGCGGACGCAGAAAGTGAGAGCAGCTGTGTACTGGTGCCCCCTGGTGGCAGTTCTCAGGCTGGCAGCCAGAATGCCACCCTGCCCCACAGGGACCCCAGGTTGAGAGAATGGGTTCTGGGCGGGGCTGCTTGAGTCTCCCGCCACCCCCCCCCGCCCCCGCTGGGGAAAGAGTGGGCATTAGGGGTGTCTTACCAACTTCCGCTGACCTTCAGCAAGTCTCGAACTCAATGGATGCAGAGCTGGTCAGTCCTGAAAGAGAAAGAGAAACAGAGCTAATAGGATTGAGCAATTGCTAAAGAGCCAGGCTTATGTCTGGGCGCTGGTTGGATCACCTCACTAAATGTGCACCCGAAACCCTAGCAGTGAGCCCTACCTGAGCACCGCCATGACTCCCCATGTTACGGGGAAAGACACAGAAGATCAGAGGTTATGTCCTTGAAGGTCGTACAGTCTGAACTTTCAAACCATTACTATTTTTTAACTGATTTTTTTTTAGAGAGAGAAAGGGAGAGAGAGAGATAGAAACATCAATAAGAGAGAAACGTCACCGATCAGCTGCTTCCTGCACGCCCCCTACTGGAGATGGAGCCCACAACCAGGCATGTGCCCTTGACCAGAATCAAACCAGCAACCTCTCAGTGCACAGGACAATGCCCAACCAACTGAGCCACACAGGCCAGGGCTTAAACCATTACTACTAAAAGCATTTTAGCCCTAACAGGTTTCGCTCAATGGATAGAGCGTCAGCCTGCGGACTGAAGGGTCCCAGGTTCAATTCCGGTCAAGGGCACATGCCTGGGTTGTCAGCTGATCCCCTGTAGGGGACATGGAGGAGGCAGCCAATCAATGATTCTCTCTCATCATTGATGTTTCTATCTCTCTTTCCCTCTCCCTTCCTCTCTGAAATTAATAAAGATATATATTAAAACAAAAATAAAAATAAAAACATTTTAGGGTAGCTGCAAGCTTTGTGAAACACTAGAAGGCCCAGTGCACAAAATTTGTGCGGGGGGGGGG